TTGAAATCTGAGGCCAAATTTGCGGTTATTACGCGAGTATATACGGTACACTTTATTGACAGCATTTAAAATTAGTGCCAACCCAGAGGCACGATGCCAAGTTTTTGCTTCGGCCACCACCTCTACGAAACTGCCGGTCCTCCTAACCGGCACTTTTCCCCCTCATATTACGCTGAAATACTACGGTTATCGCAACGGCAGTTTAGACAGACTTGTAAACGGGAGCTCATTCTACTTCGCTCCGTTCCTGAAAGTAGACGGGATATCCAAAACATCTAGAGCCGAGGGCATGAACTCCCTCAACGCTTGATTCGCCACACGAACAAAACCTCGTGACAGTCTAAGAAATCGATTGTGGCCTGTAGCGTAGCCCAGTGTTTTTATGACCGCATAACAATAAGTTAACAATCCGAGAAGCGAGCAATGCGAGCACCGTAGGTGATCGCCATGCTAGGGGAGGTCTGGGAAATTTTTAAAACAATGGTGCAATTTGGTGCATTCTAAGCTATTCTGAACACATTATATGACTCTTGAATCACTTTTTCAAGCTGTCAAGAGGAACAAACAAGCTTCTGGGAAAGGTTTTACTTTCGTTTTTCTCCTTCCCAGTCCTTGGTACCCCCATGCATAGATCAATGCTGCCGCATATCCGCAAAGTTACAAGTGCCTAGAATCTTGAAGTATATACAGTTTACATTTCTTCTAGATATCTAACTGAACAAAAATAGTCGACTTTCTACGTAAAGAAAAGTGCCGAATTCAGTTAACAGCTTTGATTACATGCGTGTCAGGTGTCACTGGTCGTGCCCTCACTCCCCACGATAAGCCCTGCGACATATGCAACCCGCCAACCACCCAAAAAAATTTCACCGCCTCGCTCACCTTCTTGGCCAGGGGAAACACTGATATATATATATATAATTATATATTATACATGGTGTTTTGTTGTGATTTGTCTGTAGTTTTATTATGTCGATCATAAGTAAATCATCTCAAAAATGAACATAACAGACGGGTTGTTGTAGGTTTCTTAAACCTGGTAGTGTCGTTGTGGACTGTGGTGCATCACCAGGAGCATGGACGCAAGTGGCTGTTCAGCGAGTCAACGCTGATTCAAGAGGTGGGAGATTGTGTTCATTGTTTTAAACCACAATTAATGAAGACCAAGTCTGATTGTGATTGCCTCATCTTACTATTAGGTGATGTTCCTTGCTCAGTACGACGAACATATGACATCTTATACGTTCCATTGTAAAAAATCACCCAACATTTGCAATTATTGTGACAAAAGCATTTGATGTAATCTGTGAGAATATATATTAATATATTATATTATTGGTGGTTAGGGCAAAACATGGTGCTTGTTAAAGTTGGTCAACCTCGCAGCTAAATGCATATATATATAAAATATATATAACTGTGAGCTTGCATATGTTGCAAAAATTCACGACGACTCATTTGTATTGCTACTTTCATAACATTTCTTCTCGAAATATAAACGAAATTACTTCTCTTACGAACGTAGCACCACAGTGATGTTTACACATCCGTGATACAGCGAAGCGATCAGCTCGATTCATTAACAGTTTCTTTCTATGATAAAACAAGTTATAATTCATTAGTCGATGTTTATTGAGTACAAAATTGTGAAATTTGTTTAAATCATATCGTTATCTATATTACTTATGCAATCAGGAAACAAGCAGCGTAGGGCTACTGCTAGCTGTGTAACAAAACCGCGTCCGGCAGACTTTTCAAAATAGTAAACTTCGGAGCACTTTTCTGGCTCAATGAGAACATTTCGTGCTCACAGTAGGTCTATATAGGCTTTTTGTTGCGAGGTTTATCTATTTTAAGGGATACTTAAGATTCCCTGGCTAACAGTATGCTCTTATGAATTCATCTGTAAACAGACAAAACCAACAAGGTTGGCCGGGTGATATCCATCGACCTGTTGCCGATTCACCCCATAGAGGGCGCCACGATGCTCGAGAAGTGCGACCTGACGAGTTCGGAAACCCAGCGGAAGGTCGAAGCGCTGCTAGGTGGCGCCGGCGTAGACGCGCTGATCAGCGACATGTCGCCGAACGCTACGGGGATGCAGCAGTTGGACCACGAGCTGATTGTGCGGTTGTGCTACCACGCGCTCGCGTTTGCTCACCGCGTGCTCGCGCCGCGCGGGGTCCTGCTCTGTAAGTCGTTCGACGGCGGCGACAGCCAGCGACTGCTGCGCGATCTTCGCAAACTATTCGACGTCGTGAAGACGGTGAAGCCGCGTGCGAGCCGGAGCGACTCCGTCGAGTCATTCTGCTTCGCGGGCGGATTCAAGGGCCGAGCAAAGACGGGTGTGTCCTGATACTCGCCGCGTCTCTGACACTCGAGGCTGCACTGATGTTGAGGTTTCCACTGGCGTGCAGAGTAGGTTTGAAACTGGGAGTCTGAGAGATGAGATCTGGCAGGAGTTTGAACATTCGCGTGTCCTGACGTCTTTTTCTTTTGAATGAGAGCATTGTATGTCGTGACTTTTATTCGTACATTAATTTGCGAGTTTTTCTAACGATGTATTCCAAGATGTTCAACAGTAATAGTCGAGGTTGAATGATGGACAAATATGTTGTACAAGACACAGAATGTACATACGATTTACGATAGCATAAAAAGAATGCAAACGTCGTGCCAAATCAAGTTAACAAGTTTTATTTTATAAAACAATAATAATAATAGTAATAATAATAATAATATACCCAGTGGAAAGTATGTCACGAGCTTGATCATCTACACATTTACCAGACCTGTATGTCTTCTCGAGCTTTGGTCGCCGATGGTAAGGTGCACAGGAAGTATTTATGTACATGCACAGAAGAAGTGCTTCAGTGCTTGTGGCATACACACAGAAAGTGCTTTCGGGGTAATGTTTAAGGGAGCCACGATTATTCACAAGAATAGTTTGAGAACAGTTGGAGTATTTACTGAAATTAGACCACTGGCAGAAAATGCAACTTAATTTTGGATTGGCATTGCTGTAGACCCAAGATGGCTGCCAGCATTCATAAACATTCAAGTATCAAATTAGCAATTGTTGAACATTTGGCATGTGCAGATTGCACAGAACTAATGCTCTGCAATATCTGTTGTTAGAATGGTCTCGTTCATACTGAGCCATAGCTTAAGGATACTGTTAGGGTTGGGAGGTGATTTTCGGTCGAAATTTCAATATCCACTATTTGATAGATCGCACCCATTGGCAGCTATGCATACGTAGAAATTATGTATGTAGCCTTCCAAACACTTCCAAATCCTTGCATTAGTAAATTCTTAACATAGGCATTCAATTATGGGAAATTTAGAAAAGTGCTAATATCTCCCTTGTTAGAAATACCGAAGTTGCTGATTTTTCAAATGCTATTTCTCGAAACACAACTCCGATTCCAAACATTTTTGTTACGTTTCAATACTAACATACCAAAGGAAAAAAGTGTCCCTGGAATTTTGTTTAAATATATTTTACAAGTTATGGCTGTTTGTTTACGAAATTGTTGCGTTTTGAAATTCACTACAAATTTTCCTACATCTTTTAAACTTATTTCCTAAATTAAAGCGTTTAAAAAAATTCCAGGGACCCTTTTTTAGTTCATATTATGAACAACTTATGGTTAAAAGTTTAGGTCCCAACTCTGCTGTTTCTGAGAAATAAAAAAAGCATTTTTTTGTATAAATTCACAATTTTTGCCGTCCCATAATTAGCGATGAATTAAAAAAAAAATCCATCGAGAGCGTAGAGAGATATCTCTCTTATGTAATGGATATGAGTTTGATTAAATTTGATGAGCAGTTATGTTGCAATGCCCTTTACAGTGTTACCCGTCCGTCCTAACAGTAACAGTTTCAAAAAGTTAGTGAATGCTGGGATGGGGCATATCGCGGTAAGAGTGAAACATGGCTGTCACGTTGTATGAACATAAACATAAAGAGACCATTTCTGCTTTTTTTGAGTTTTTTCGAAGTCGCTTTTTGTAGCGGATTGGTGGCAAATCAGACACGTCACAATCGCCCGTTTTGGCAAACATGATTGCTCCTGATACCGTCACTGATTGGCTTGTCGGCTTATGATTAACACCCCATTGTGGGAGCAGTAGGAACCAAAATCCAAAGCATAACCGTACCTACCTTTGGTTCTAAATTACATTTCACTGTAGGTTATCATCGTACGTATGAAATCTCTCTCTCTCTCTCTCTCTCTCTCTCTCTCTCTCTCTCTCTCTCTCTCTCTCTCTCTCTCTC